TCCTTCCTTCCTTCCTTCCTTCCTTCCTTCCTTCCTTCCTTCCTTTCTTTCTTTCTTTTTGTTTATCCATCCATCTCTTTGTCCTCTTTCTTTCTCTCTCTCTCTTTCTCTTCCTCCCTCCCTTCCTATCCCATCCATCCATCCATCCATCCATCCATCCATCCATCATCTCTTTGTATTCTTCCTTTCTCTCTCTCTCGTAGGAAAGCTTATATATACCATGGAAGAAAAAAAAAACACCATCTCTATTCTCCAGAGACTTAATTTTCTCAGATCTGGTCCCATTCTCTATCCAGATGCATGTAAAAGTACTATGGTCATCCTTAGTCCAAAATTATATATTTTGTGTCTTAATGACTGCCATCAAGTGGATAACTGTATGTATTGAACCATATGGATTTAAATTTAAGTTGGTTTTTGCATTTCATAAGCAAATACAGACTGGTTAATTTCCTGATATGTGTTGTGAGCTCATGAAGCGGCCTGTGCAATCACGAAAGCTGATTTGAATAGCCAGGAATGTGCGCATAATTTAAATACTTGAAATTTTTGAGGACCTCTTTACGCTAAATAAGCCCGGTGTTTAAAGTATTGGGATTGCGAAATTTTATAAGCTTTCATTTGCATGAAACTAAACAATTCCATTGTTGCAATATTGTTTGTTAAAAATTAATTTGAATGGGGCAGATATGGTATTAATTGAGTGTCACATAACACCGTTAAAATAATAATACAAATTTGTTAGATTAATATGAGCGTTTCTTTTTTATATGTATATTTGTTAGCCTGTGTCAGGCCAGTCATTCATTCCTCTGGTCTCTTAACCAGACGCAAAAGCTTTTAAACTTCTAGAATATTCACTACTCTTTGCTACAGTTGTCAATTAAGGTATGCTTGATAGGATTGCAGAGATAATAAACAGCCGTAAAGTCATTACCAATAGTTTAATGCCCCTGCATTAATCATTTCGGCTGCCTCTACCTTATTTCATTTTTTTTGCAATTTTTCCAGTCTTTTGATTAGATTGGATGGCAAATCTGTCTCGAATATTCCAAGTGCAGTTTTAACATTATCTCTCCATCTGCTGAGCTTTTTTCCCAATTAGTTCGAGCACTGGATGTGCATTTTCACAGCCGCTGCACATCGATTAATGCAATTTCATTCAGTCACTCAGTGTGACTGCAAGATCTCTTTCCTGACCAATGATTAGCAACTCTTAACCTTTTGGTAGTTAGTCCAACCTGCGACGCTCCAAATACCTCTGGGTACGCGAGACGGTTAAGTTGAGTTTTGCTCCGTTTTACGACTTTCCTTGCCACCGTCGTAACGAGAATCGCTCCGGTTGCGAAGTTAGTAGCCCGGTTGTTAAGTGAATCCGGCTTCCTGCGTGGACTTCGCTTTTAAGAAGGTCGCAAAAGGGGACACTGCAATCCTCATAAAGATGAATCTATTGGCAAACTTCTGAATTTTGGTAGCGTAACCTTGGGGATGCTTCCATGGTCTGAAAAACAGTCCTAACAGCAATAGCAATAGCAGTTAGACTTATGTACCGCTTCATAGGGCTTTCAGCCCTCTCTAAGCGGTTTACAGAGTCAGCATATCGCCCCCAACAACNGGGGGGGGGAGGGATGACATCAAACACCTGGATGTTTATCGACAGGTCCAGGCACTGGCGGCACCTGCGTGGGAAACACCCCCCCCCCGCTCAGGTGGGCCAGTAGAAGCCGAGGCATCCCTTCCCAGCCTGCTTTTTTTAAAAAAACATTTTGAAGCCACTCCTGGTGTGTGTACTGTCAATTGTGGGTTTCTTGAGGACACGCCTCATGGCGACAGCTGCCTGATACCTGAACAAAGCACCTGGGCTCCCTGCCTTCAGCAGGTCGGAGCCACTTCTGAGCAGCTCCTTTGCAACGTTTCTAGTCCTCAGTATGGCAACGACCTCTTGACTTCCCTTCCGGTTTCAGGCAGACGATTTTTTTTCCCCTCCCTCCCCCTTCCTTTCTTGAAGTCTCACTTCTCAAAAAAAATTAATAATATGCGCAAAAGACAAGACAAGAATAATATCTGCCTTATTGGCCTCTTGCTTCCAAAAAGAGGGGAAAGCGAGGAAAGGAAAAAAAAAACGCTTAAAAACAAAACAACAATCTAAAACAGGAGAGAAATAAGAATTATTTCCCACCCACCCACCCACCCTCTTTCCTGGAAAGTCCAGCAGGTGTGTAAGAACTACAAAGCCCATCCCACCCCTGCTACCCATCATCCCTCACCCACCCCCTTTGATTCCGTTTAATCGAAGCCAATCCTCTTCCGATTCATTCCCAACTCCCGTTTGAAAATAAAAAAAAAAACAGTCCAACTGGTTTGGAGCCACGCAAGGATTGCCCGGATTGATCATTAACTTTCTTAAAACATCGGGTTGCTTCGTTTATTTGAGCCAGGCGTGCGTGCAAGGGATCTGCGAAAATTGAAAATAAAAATTAATAAATGCACCATCACCACCACCACCATCACAGTCTTCCTGGCTTTATTTCAATTTTTATTTTTATTTTTTATTTTTTGGGTGTGTGTGTGTGAGTCCACTTGCCGAGAGTGTAAAGCCTTGTGCGTTCCACTTTTTTGCTCAGCAATTGTCCCGGCCTTTGCTCTGTTTGCTAGGCTAAGGTGTGGCTGTCTGATTAAACGAAGGTTCCTCCCCTCCCTCTTACCTGGAAGATTTGCATGTTTGACCTGGTGGAGTAATTTGGCAGCAACTTAGGCGTGCCCAAAGTCTTAGTTTCACGTATGACTCACAAGCTGCAACACACAAGCACCCACTTCCCCAATCCGCAGAAGCCATTTTAAACTGCACAAACACACACACACACATGCACGCACGCACGCACACAAACACACACACAGACACACCAGTGCTTGGATTTGTAGGTACCGTCCTAACTTTTGGGGATCCCCACCCAGCCACATCGAGCAAGGTAAAACTGCAATTTCAGTGAAATTTCTAGAACTTTTGCGGATGGATTCTTGGGGGGAGGATTATTTACACGCTGAGTTTTTATTTTTTATTTAAACACACACACACACATGGGTGTGTGCTTTTTTTTGGCGTCCCAGGCTTAGTTGCATTTTAAGAAGCGATAGGAGAACAGAGAACATTTTCTAGAGTACGTTGCATTTTCTCTTTTTAAATGTTCCTTCGCCTTCCAACGTTTTGTTTGGGAGCGTCGAGAGAGAAAGAAATTAGAAAAAGAAAAAAAAGCTGAGTTAATTCCGGGTTTTGTTTTGTTAAAAAAATGAAAACAGGTTTAGGAGGCTCGTTGAGTTTTAACTCATCACCGGCATAACTCAAAAACATAAATGTGTGTTATTCGGCTTTTTGACCGCGGAGAAGGAAACAGATAAAAGTGGAATAAAGTCAGCGCTACGAAATACAAATATTTTAAGCATTTAGGCATAAGCTTATCTTTCTCAACGGGGATATATAAAGCATATTCCTGGCGTGTCGCCGTTTTGAAGCGTGGAATAGACGGGTTTGTTTAAAAAAAAAAAAAACTTCTGCTGGCCCATCGGTTAAAAATATTTGGATTATTGATGTGAGAATGTGCGTTTTTCTGCCAGACGTGTTTTCTGTAATTCCTTGTTGTTGTTCATTGTGGTTGACTGACTCCTTATGGCTGCTCTTGCTTCATAACCGGCTATGACAATTGCTAGGAGTTGACTTGGAAAGGTTTTGCGGAGATGGTTGCCAAAGGTTTTGAGTTGTGACTTCACTCGTCAAAATGCTGTGTGAAGGGGTGGGTGGGTGGGGCAGAAGATGGAGGGACTTAAAACATCTACCTACCCCCACAAAATGCTCCCTAAATCAGCTTTCACCCACCTGCTCCTCCCTAGATCCAAGATTCCACCTATTAATCTAGTAATTTTTCATGCTGCCTTGAGATAGGATGGGATCTGGTAAGGCATGATATTCCAAGGATGCCAGATCGAAGAAGATTGTGATAAAACAATTGTCGATGTTTTGCGCTCCCTCTCGTTATTTTGTGCCAGTTTTGATGTTTCTTTAACTTTGAAGAAAGATTGGCCATTAATCTAACTTTCTCACGAAAAACAAAGCTTACTCAACTTTCAAAAACTGTGTTGGGTTTCCCAAAATCGAGGTCATGCTGCCAGGGAATTGCTGGCAAGTAATTCTGTCGGCATCTGTGTAAAAAAAATGCATTGGCCTTGTTCACTGTATTGTTAAGAGCTATTTGCAAGTATTATCCCATTCTAAACACAGTGCATTTCTCTGCCTTCATGCTCTTGAATTGTGGGTTAAAAAAAAAAAGAGGTTTTCAGCAGCTTTAAAAAAAAAATACTTTAAGCAGTAGCGTTTCCTAGTTTTTGGCGTTTGGATGGAAAATTATAGAAACTTTCCCATTTAGTTTTTAAATATTGAAGTCTCGGGAGTCCTCATTCCATTCAGGACTGGAAAGTATATTTATTAACAGGATTGGGAAGCCGGCTATTTTAACAGCAGATTTATCAATAGGGAACCCGTCTCGAAAGTGATTAGATTTTAGAAATAATTCAGGATAGTAGGTGCAGTTGAGCCTGGTGGAGGATGAAGGCTGTTAGGGCATGTCAAAAGTATTTTGTTTTGCATTCCTGCTGCTTAATGATGAATTGAATGGCCCTGGGATTGTTTTCTCCTGCTCCTGAAGTCAATGAATGGAAGCCAGAGCTGATCCTGAATACGTTTAATTCTTGTCCCGTAGTGCCTTTATTTTGGGATCAAAAATTGGGGAATTTGCAAAACGTAATAGATATCATCCTGATTACCGGTAGGACAATTCAGGGTTTATTCAATTTAGGGGCAGGGTAACTTTCATTTAGAGTAAGTTATAATGTGATTTAGTCCCTCCATTTCTTTCACTCTGAATTAGTCATTTTTTATAATGAACAATTTAATTGTTGACAAATAGAAGGCGTTAATTCTGAACTGTTGAAAATGTGTAGTAGAAATGGAAAATGGAATTGCTCTGTTCCTTTGGCCCTAGGACACACCAACCCAGATTCTTTCTGCTTTTTTTCAAGCGTCCCTTTTAGTGAACATTTAGATGCTATACGGGTAGCCCTGATTTGACTTGGGGCCACAATTGAGCCCCAAAATTTAGGTTGTTGAGCAAGACATTTGTTAAAAGAGAGTTTTGCCTCATGTTACGACCTTCCTTGCCACAGTTGTTAAGTGAATCGCTGCCGTTGATACGCTAGTAACACGGTTCGTTCAGTGAATCCTGCTTCCCCATTTGTCTTTGCTTGTCGGAAAGTCGCAAAAGGGGATCATGTGACTTTGGGACGGAGCAACGGTAATAAGTGTGAACCAGTTGCCAAGCACCTGAACTTTGATCACAGGATCACGGGGAGGCGACAATGGCTGTAAGTGTGAAAAATGATCCTAATGGTCCCTTTTGTCAGTGCCGTTTGAGTGGTCACTAAGAGAACAGTTGTAAGTTGAGGACTCCCTGTATTGAAAGGTTTAAAAAGAGAATTATGGGCCTTGGAAAGCTGCTGAGATCTTCTGAGGCACAGCAAGCATCGGGTGTGCTACCTGGAGAACGAGAGAGGCAGGATTCCCACGATGCTTTAGAATTGCTTGGAAGCTCTCAGGCAGATACACTTGGGAGTGGGGTTCTTGGTGCTGGAAGGGAGTAGGATATCTGGAGTAGAGGAGGAGGAGGAGGACTGTGGGGTCCTTGGTGCTCNAGCCCTCTCTAAGCGGTTTACAGAGTCAGCATATCGCCCCCAACAACAATCCGGGTCCTCATTTCACCCACCTCGGAAGGATGAAAGGCTGAGTCGACCTTGAGCCGGTGAGATTTGAACAGCCGAACTGCAGTCAGCTGAAGTGGCTTGCAGTGCTGCACTCTAACCACTGCGCCACCTCGACTCAATGATGACAGTGTCGTCGTAACTTTGAATGGTCACTAAATGAACTGATGTAAGTCAACATTACCTGTGCAGGTAGCCCTCGACTTAACAAGAATCCTTTTAGTAACCGTTCAAAGTCACAACGACATTGAAAAAAGATGACAATGACCATTTTTCACACTTGCAAACTTTGTAGCACGCCCATGATCATGTCATCAAAATCCAGAGGCTTGGCAATTGGTTCATACTTACTGCCATTGCTGTGTCCCAAGGTCACATGATCTCCTTTTGTGACTGTCGGACAAGCAGAAATCAGCGGGGAAGCCAGATTCACTTAACAACCATGTTAGTAACTTATCAACTACCGTGATTCACTTAATAACCACGGCAAAAAAAAAAGGTCGGAAAAACTCACTGAACCAACGTCTCACTCAACAACAGAAATGCTGGGCTCGATTGTGGTCGTACGTCGAGGACTACTGTAACCCCCGAAAGTGCCTGTCTTCTTAGCCCAAGAACCCTGAGTTTCCACGTAAGCCTTAAGAGAGGAACTCCGATTATTTTGGAAGTCAAAAGTATATATTGCCTATATATAAGTTTGCTGAGATCGTTAACAAAGATCTGAAGGTGTTTGATTGTGAATATATTTAGATATGTGGTAATAAATATTTAAGGGACGCGGTGGCTCAGTGGCTTGTCGATCAGAAGGGTCGGCGGTTCAAATCCCTAGCGCCGCGTAACGGAGTGAGCTCCCGTTACTCGTCCCAGCTTCTGCCAACCTAGCAGTTCGAAAGCAGGTAAAAAAATGCAAGTAGAAAAATAGGAACCACCTTTGGTGGGAAGGGAACAGCGTTCTGTGCCCCTTCGGCATTGAGTCATGATGGCCACGGAGATGTCTTCACACAGCGTTGGCTTTTCGGCTTTGAAACAGAGATGAGCACCGCCCCCTAGAGTCGGGAATGACTGGCATAAATGTGCGAGGGGAACTTTTACCTTTAATAAGTATTTGGAGTTTTCCTGGTTAGGATTTTGTTTCTACGAAGTGATATTTTTTTTGATTTTAGCCAAATAGAAACATAAAGATGCTGTAAGAATCCAAATTTGATGAAAAAATGTTTGCGCCGAGACATCAGCTTAAAGTGTAAGGCTAATAAATACCGACTCTCGTGAACAGTATAGGTAATATTTCTTGCGCCATAGCAGGTTCCTGTTTGGAATTGTAAGGTTTTGATTTAAACCGTGTGATTTAAAGCGCATCTATTCACATTTTGGCAATTGGAACTGGAAAATCTTGAAATTATTTCAGATATATGCTTCCCAGTGTCCTTGGGGACTGGAGCGAGTTATAAGTAGACCAATAAATAAACTTTACTGAAGCTTTTTAACCCCCTCAATAACAAGCCTTTCCATTGTTGTCACAGCTTTTAAAAAAAAACTGTTACTCTGAAATATCTGCTAGGGCAGATAACAATATATTTAACAACAAATGCACAATTTGGGGTTATTCGATCGCTGTAGGCCGTCCAGAGTCGTGTTTTTGTGATACGGGTTTATATAAATTGGATTAATAAATAGTAAATAATAGCTTTTTCATTGGTTTTAAGGTTCTAAAAAGAACATTAAAATGCATTTATGAGCATCTTAAGAGGTGATCCCAGGGACTGGGTAGTGACTAATACCTACGCAGCCTGGGGGAAATTATGAAAGTAATAATAATCATCTTTCTCCTCTGTTGGAACATGTTGCGGTGGTGATTCCTGGAGTTTCCTGTCCTCCTCTGCAGGCTCCAGATTTAATAACCAGAAGTTTAAGATTCCTTGTGAGGTCATCTGGACAGGTAATCTTTAACTAACAACCACAATTCAGCCCGGAATTTTCTGTTGCTAAGCAAGACAGTTTGTTAAGTGGGCTCCGCACACATTTTGCAACTTCTCTTGCCCTGCCCCGGTTCTTAAGCGAATCACCGCAGCTGTTAAAATTAGCAACTCAGTTGTTAAGCGAATCCAGTTCCCCTGCTGACCCTGCCAGAGGAGACCACATGACCCAGGACAATGCAACCGTCGTA